CGATTTCCGTCTCGTCGTTTTCGATTTCCTCGTCGTTCAGGATGCCCGCGGAAACGAAGTTCGGAGCGGCGCGATCTCTCCTCACGCCGCCATCGTTCCCCCCACCCCTCTTACCCCCGCCCCCTCCCGCGCGCGCGATCGCGTCTAAGAGTCGCGCGTCATCCTCCCGCGGCAGCCGCGCTTTGTGCGTCCAGTGCACCACCGGGTGCCTTCTCTTCCCGCCGCCTCGCACTTCCACGGACAACCCGAACGCGCCCGCGATGTGCGCTAACCCTTGCAGCGCTTCCATGGACTTCGTGGGCTGGAACCCCATGTACGCCGCGCCGGAGCGAATCATCGCGGACATCGCGTCGGCGACGGCCTCCGCGCGCGGGAGGCTGTCGCGCTCGTCCCGATCCCCCCCCCCGCCGCCGAACGCGTTCCGCTTCGAAGCCGCCTTCGCCGCCTTCTTCGCGGCCCTTCGCCCGCTCGGTCCCAGCCGCTCCGGCTCTCGCGAGGTCACCCTCGCGCCGCCCGTGCCCCACGCGTATTGCGTCCCCTTCCCGCCGCTCACGAGCGCGTCGTTCTCTTCCTCGGACTCGGAGTCGTCGACGGAGGCTGGCGGGGACGGGACGCCGCCGCCGTCCAGGTTCATCCTCGACATGTTCCTGAGGTACGACGCCTCCCTCGCGCGTCGTTTCGCGCGGCGTCGCTCGGAGTCTTCCCACGCCGCCTCCGCGGCCGTGACCGCGGCGTCGGCTTTGACCTCGTCGTCGTCGTCGTCCTCGGCGGCGTCGTCATCCTCGGCGTCCTCGGCGTCGTCGTCGCGCCGTTTACTCGCGAGAAACTCTTCGTCGGACTCCGAGCCGTCGCCGTCCATGCAGTTGCGGATGTAGTCCGACACCGCGTCCGAGTCCAAGCTCAGCTCGCTGCCGCTCTCCCATTCGCCGCTGCCTTCGTCCTCGTCTTCCTCTTCGTCGTCTTCGTCGTCGTCGACCGGCGCGGCGCGACGGGAGGCGACCGCGCCGCGGCCGCCCGCGGGTCCTCGCCCTCGGTCGTTCAGATGGATGACCACGCCACCGACCCTCATCACGTCCTGTCGCTCCACGTTCGGGTCCTCCTCGTCCGCGAGCGTCTCCTCCTCCTCCTCGTCGAACCCGGGGAGGTCGTCCTCGGAGTCATCCGAGTCGCTGGACTCGGGCGCGCGGATCCGCCGCCCGGGCCCCGTGCGTCTTCCCGCGTACGCGTCCTCGATCTGGCGCCGCTTCCTCCCTCCGCCTCTTCCGACCCGCCGCGGAGTGACGCCGTTGCCCCCAGCGTACGCGCCTTCCGCGGCGGCGACACCGAGTCCGCGACCGCCCGTGCGACTGCCCCGACCGCCGCGGCCGCGTCCACCCGCGCGTCCGGGGCCCTTGCGACCCATCGCTCTCCAGATCGCCCGGGGCGGCGGGGCGGCGGGATGTGTGTTTATTCCAAAGCGCTCGATATTTTTACATTGAACTGAAGCGGAACGAGGCGTCACCGGTGACGCACCCTGACGACGCCGTCGAGCTGCCGTCGCCACTCCTCCCTCCGGCTCTTATCTAACGTCTCCTCTCTGCTCTGCACGAGGTCCCCCATCGCCTTCTCGAGCCCGCGCCAGTTCACGCCCCCCCCCCCGCGCGTCCCCACCTCCCCCGGCGGCGCCGGCGGCAGCACCTCCGGCGATGCCGTCTCCGCGCGCGAAGCGCGCGACGCTCTCTTCTTCGCCTCGGGCGGCTCGGCGTCGAACGCCAGGCTCGCCATCACCGGGTCCGCGCTCTCCGTCGGCGCCCTCGCGTCCCTCGACCCGGCGGGCCGCTCCACGCGACGCATGCGGTTCAACGACGCGAGGACCGGGTCCGCGGGCGCGGACTCGCGCTCGCGCTCGATCGCACGGCGGTTCTGCTCCGCGAGCTGTCGTCGCCGCTGCTCGTCTTTCCTCGCCTGGATTTGAGCGCGAAGCGCGCGCTGTTGCGCCTCCGCGTCCGCCACCTCGCGCCCCGGCGCCGGCGCCGTCACCCTCCCCGCCGCGATGGGGGTCGGCGTCGCGCTCGGCTGCTCCTGAAGCGCGTAGTCGTAATCCTCCACGGTGCGCGTCTTCAGCGCGGCTTTGTGCTTCGCCGCGAACGCCGAGTCGACGGGCTTCGCGGCGGCGTCCACCGACGCGCCGTAAATTTCCAGCATGGCGTCGAGCGGGAGGTCCACGCGTTCGCGCTTCGGCGGCGCGGACGCGGGGCGAACGTCGCGCGGGTCGACCGCCGGGAGGCTCATTCCGATCGGCGCGGTCGCGAAGCCGTATGTGGGGGGCGACGGCGGCGCGTCCGCACGCGCGCGGCGCGGCGGCGGCGGCGACGACGGCGCGCGCGGCCCCCCCCGCCCCGTCCGTCGCGGCGGCGGCGGCGCGGCGGCGGCGTCC